CCTTCCTAGGATTCATAGTTCTTCTGCAGGGACCGAATTAAGTATGTATGTACTTTTTTGAGTTCCAACAACACTTTGTATAGACCCGACCAGACTGTGGACTCCTCGTGGTCTAAGGTCTTCTGTGACTCAGGGCCCTGGCACAAAGTGATTTTGAATAGAAGTGGCATTCTCCCCTGGCAGTTATCACACGATGTTGTAACTGCCTTGTTTTCAATTCTTCTAATTGTGGCTACTTTATATTTCACTATTGAAGAGTGTATTTGTTACTCAAACGCTTTTTCTTTTCTCTGTGTGTTGGTGAGACAAAATAATGTCCTGTAGTTCCATTAATGAGTGATTTTACAACATTTGTAACATTGGCTTTGAACTGAATATTGTATCAATGCCTCTCTCACTTTTCTTTTTTCTTTCTTTCTTTCTTTTTTGCTCCCAAATAAGGGTATATGACCTCTATCACTTTTGAGCCACTGGCTGTGTCTGAAATAAATTTAAATCTAAAATAGTAGGAGAATAATCTTAAATTTATTTCTTATTATTTCTAGGCCTGGGGCCTAAAGCTTGTCATTCGTTAAGGAAATAATCTATAGGATGGCAAATTCCACCATTTTTTGTGATGTTTTGTGTTGCCGTGTTCTGCCACTAGAGGACAGTATCATCCCTCAATTCATGTCTTTTGCACTAAAAATTGCATCGTTTGGATGAGTGGGAAATCAGGGAACAGGGAGAGTTTGCAGAAAAAATTTTAGATACTAGCAAATATAGTAAAACCATGGAAACATTGCCATAGTTGACAAAACTTGAGTTCTGGTCCAGGCTAGGACCGCTTGCTCTGTGACCTTGAGTGAGCCCCTTCTCTTGCCAGGCTTCTTGGCATAAAATGAGGGGGTAAAACCAGACTAACTCTAAACTCTTTGACACCTAAATTCGAATAAAATCAAACTAGTAGAAAGGTCTTTTGATGGCATTATGTAGAATCTATCTTGCTTCTTTTCAACCAAGCTCATGTTTCTGGATATCCGTGTTTAGCCATCTATGCATAATTCCTTCTTCTTCTCATGGATAGTTCATTGTATTTCATTATAAATTCATTCTTGTATATGATATGCTTTTTACCTCAAAGGAAACTGGCTTAGAGTTTGTGCTTGGTTCACATGGAAGGCAAAGAGAAACTCATTTTAGGCTCACTTATTCTCAGCATTAAGAAGCTAAGACACACCATTTTTGAATATTACAGCTATCTTCACCTGAAGAGACAATTTCTTCTGCAACTGTGGTTAATGCTAATTAATGGTTCATCATAAACAACTTACACTATATACATACTTTGCCTCCAAATAAACTTTTACCCATTTTTAGGAATGAAAAAAAAAAAAAAGAAAAATACCAAGCTTCAGGGAAGATAAGTTCTTGAAATCTGACAGTTTCCAGATAATGTCAGAATATGATTGCAAGAAAAATAATATGAAATGTACATTAACATAAATCTACAACTGCTCAACTTGATGAAAAATATCACCATAAAATTCTGCCATTACTGAACCACGCAATATGTTTTTCTCTATGACATTTTGTGAGAATGAATAAATTATCTGAGAATGCGTTTGCATCAAAAATACAGAATTTTATAATAAACACATAAATCATTCAAGCATTTTCCAGCAAGATGCCTGATCCAAAAAATGGGGGTATTCATATTACTTTTCCCCTTTTCATCTCCTTTCTCTCTACAGTACCTTAGAGCTCTGGGTGGTAATACAAAACCATCAATTATGGAAGTGCAGGAAAAGAAGACATAAAGAAATAACTCTTATTGAAGAAGTTTTCCATGCAACCTACAAGCTCAACTCCTGTGAGTCTTGCTTTCACTGAGGTCATCTCTGCAGTTATGATTTCAGTCTACTTTTAAAAAAGTCATATTTTATAGCCATGCTACTTGGATATCAGCCAACAACCCTTATTAAATTGACAGCACTAACTTAGCTCTGAAAGATGTGTCTTTCTTGCACTCCCGGAGGAATTTCTTTGCTCTTTTTTTATTTTGGGTAATTAATTTCACATAAAAAAAGCGTGATCGCCTTTTTGCTTAGGTTACCGGGAAGCTTAGAGAAAAACTAGCAGTTTAATTGTAATAGAATGTAGTGATGTGTGCCCGAGCAGCCTGAATTTTATCTTTGCCTTAGTCTTACAGTCTATCTAGATACTTCCTACGATTTAAAAAATTTTTCTTCCATTTTACCATGCAAGTTTTTGTTGACTACTCCAAATATTTGTAAGCTGAGGCAAAGTGTAGATGAATATATGGATGAATAGGTGTGATGTTGGGATTTATAATAAGAAATATATATTTGGTCTTCGTCCCTGTGTCTGGCACAGAGCTCCTAAATCCCTTGGAATTTCATAGTGATGAGAGCTATCAAGGTGTCTTTTGTTATGTTAAGGAGGTGACTTACTTCTGGACTCCATCTAATGATGGGGACTGTTTGTCAGTGGTGGTTAGCCGAAGACCACGGGATCAAAGGGTTAGAAGAACTTACAGTCCCCTACGTCTACCCTCCCTTGCCCCCCCCCCCCGCCCCCGCCACCGTCCCAGGGAGAGGAGAGTGGCTTGAGATTGAGTTCAGTCCACAATGGCTAATGATTTAATCAACCATGCCTATGTAATGAAGCCTCTATAAAACCCCAAAAGTTTGGAGTTTGAGAGATTCAGGAAGCATGGAAGATCCCTGCCTTTTCCTCATACCTCCCCTTATATGTCTCTTCCATCTGACTGTTCCCGAGTTATATCGTTTTACAATAAACTGGTAATTTAATAAGTAAAATGTTTCTCTGAGTTCTGTGAGCCACTCTAACAAATTAATCGAACCTAAGGAGGGAGTGGTTGGAACCTCCCATCTATAGAAACACAGGTGACAATCCGGGCTTGTGACTGGCATCTGAAGTGGTGGTGAGGTACGGTCTGGTAGCACTGAGCCCTTAACTTGTAGAATTTGGTGCTGTCTCTGGGTGGACAGTGTGAGAATTGGGTTGAATTGTAGGATACCCAGCTGGCATCCAGAGAATTGCTTGATGGTGCGTGGGTGGAAACTGCCCCCCTGCATATGTTGGAATTGGAATTAGAACCATCCTGATAGTGACACAGACATATTAATATGTGTAGAATAGTGGTCAAAGAAGATTCTGCAATCAAAGAAATGAAGGTGCATGTCTATAGTGAACTATTAAAAAAAGAGGGGAATTGTGAAATCCATTTCTTGTCTGCTTTCTCCCCAGGACTCATTTCTCAATAAATTGCCTATAAAGCTTCTATTAGGACCTAAGACATTTATATATCAAATGATTATGATCTGCTCTGGGATGCCTCTGTGCTCTGCTCCTTTTCTCTGTCAAGAGGCATGAAGAAACTTCCTCTACATAATTCATGTGGTCTTCTAAGGATTAAAATACATCAGTTAATGGAGAAAAGCTCTGAATCAAGTGCTGTGTGCATGGAAGGCATTTCTGTGTTTAAGGACTAAAGAGGCACTGATAGGAAATCTCCCCTATTTTGAGGGGTTTAGGCATGGTCTAGAGGGAAGATAGACAGGGATCTGTCAGGCTGTGAAGGATGGAGAGGAGAGATGGAATAGGGAACAGCTCTTGTTTCCTGCCTCTGCTAATTCAATTGAATTGATGAGTCAGAAGAGCCCTGCCCACTTCCCATTTCAAGAGGAGGAAAGTAAGACTTGGAAAGGTTAGGTGCCTTACTTAAGGTAACACAGCCAGGGAGTAGTAGAGCCTGGGCTTGGGCTCCTCTCATTGCTCCTTCCACCTTGCTTCCCTTTGTGCATATCTTCCCTTTGTGCCTCCAGGTCCACTGTTCACCTTGTCCGCCCTGCTCCACCCCACTCTCCATCCTGGGAGACCAACCAGCACATGCAGGCTACCTTGCCTCGTGGTTTCAGGTTGGGTTCAGCCATTAGGAAGTCCAAACAGGAGATCAGAGGAAGGTTGGAGAGGGAGGTTGGGGCATGTATTCCCTTGAGTCCCACTCTGGGAGGTCCACATGGGCTGGTGGTGTTTCCTCAACCAATGGTCACTGCTCCTCTCAAGGTGGTGAGCTCCTTCTGGTTTTCTGTAGCTGTCCCCTCATCCTTTTGGGCTTAGGGGTGGTGACAGCACCACTGCTGTTGGCCCCAGTTTCTGCATCACCCCTCATTCTTCTCCTACACCTCACACACCTTAGTCAATAGTTCCTTTGTAAATAAACCTCCTTAAATTATCCTAATTTGGGTGTGTGCCATCTGTTTCCCCTTAGGACCCTAACTATTACACTTTCCCGTTAAAGAAAATGTGATGTTAATAATATGTTATAGAATATAGCATCAGACACATAAAAATTGATTTCGATGTTTCAGTTACTGGGAAATGTAAATCATGGGATTGTCATCTTTTCTAACTGAACATTGTAAGAGAATATGGGGACATTGGGGGAAGTGGTGAGAGAAGCTATAATGTATAGGATCCAATTAAATTTCTTTGGCTGTCCTCCATTTGTGCTTCTAGCACTACTGAAATTGATTATTTCCTTTCAGGTTCTTACCTGTATCTTTATCTCCAAATTGAGTTGCTTTGCCTGAAGCTTTAAAATCTATTTTCATGTTAATTAATCAGCATTTTAAAATTAGATTTCTATCTTGCAATTTTACAGAGGGGTATGCTTAGAGAAATAACTTAGTTATGTATCTGATGCAACCCATATGTTTCAAAACAATCTCTTTCCCAAATTGCACAACATGGAATATGACTTTTCACGATCAATTTCTTCATTAATAAGGTAAGGTGATAAAAAGGCATAAGACGTGAGAGACTCTTTCCAAAATTAGTTATTTCATGAAGGTTAAGTCAATAGATAACCTTGTTGAAGAAATCTGTGACCACAGACAAAAATGTAAGAGGATCTTGGAAGCAAAGAAAGATGCAAATATACTTATATTTCAAACTTTGTGATTTGACTTTACCTTTAACATGTTGGCTTCTGATATCCCTGGAAATGGGTTGTTCCACCTGTAGAAGACAACGTGGCACCATTATTTCTTAAATTGTGACTATATCATCTCATGACCTGCCACTCAGTATATAACTGTAATCTAATGATTCCCAAGGATAAAGGCATAAGTCCCTGGACTCATCATTCTTATAGATCACCCTATGAGTATGGGAGGCAATCAGTCAATATGTGTAAATACGTGTAAATACATGTACCACTGTGCCAGCAATGAGGGTAGTGGCCTCAGGTGGTAATTTGGCATAAAAATACTTGGTTTGAGATCCAATCCAATCTTATTGCTGTGAAACTTTGGAAAAGCATTTACCATATTATGAGTCTTAGATTTTTCATCTTTTTAATAGGGAAAATATTTAGTCAATCATGTCATTGAATTATTGTGAAGATCAACATACATGATCAAGTCCATGAAAGCGATGGAGCAGGCAGTTCAGAGTGTGGCCTCATGTGGATGCCCGTGTTGGGATTTCACCTCCATCATGTGCTGGCTATGAGAACATGGCCAGTCATTTAACCTTCTAAGCCTCAGTTTCCTCATCTGTGAAGTGGAGGTAACAAAAGAACTGGTACCTCACAAGGGTGGCAGGACTACATGAGACAGGCAATGTGCCTAGAACGGGAAATGACACAAATGAAGCTGAATAATTGTTAGCTGTCATTATTAATAGTATTAAAGGTGTTGCTGAACTATTAAGGGATGGCTGTACAATTATTAGGCATGAGAGTGAAGAAGATGATAGAGACATCCTAATGATGCCCAATGCCTTTGAAAGCCTTTCAGCCTAGATCAGTATTGGGGTCTACGATGGTTAGTTTTATGTGTCAAATTGACAGGGTCACAGGGTACCCAGATATTTGATTAAACATTATTTCTGTGTGTCTGTGAAAGTGATTCCAGGTGAGATTAGAATTTGGATCAGTAGACTGAGTAAGGCATATTGTCCTCCCCAATGCCAGTGGGCATCATTCAGTCCATTGAGGGCCTGAATAGAATAAAAAGGCAGGGGAAAGGAGAATTTGATCTCTCTGCCTGACTGTTGACCAGGGACGAAGGTCTTCTCCTGCCCTCGATGACTGAGATTTACATCATTGGTTCTCTTGGTGCTCAGGCCTTTGGACTCAGGCTGGAACTTATGCCACTGACTTTCCTGGGTCTCCAGCTTTCTGATGGCAGATTGTGGGACTGAGCCTCCATAATCACTAATTTATTTATATGTATGTGTATATGTCTATGGCTATATATGTCTATATGTTTCTGTCTTTCTATTGTATCTATCCTATCATCTATCTATCTATCACCTATCTGTCTATCTATCTATCTAACTATATATCACCTACCGCCTATGTTTCTAGAGAACCCTGACTAATAGAGAGGCTCAGTGTTACACTTTATTGGTGCCAAGTTGAGTTGGCCAAGGTGAATGGGGAGGAAGGGTCACTGAACGCCCTGTTACCTCATGTCTTAATGTTCAACGTCCACCTCTTCCTCTGTGGAACATTGAAACACCTTATTTATGCTTGGAAAGTGGTGGCTCTTCTGCTGGCCAAGTTAGTCAAGGCTTGAGCGTGGTTTGGGTTTGCTGTTGTTATGGCTTCCTTCGTCACACCATCAGCTTCCAATTCCGCCAGGGTATGGAGGCTGGTGTGCTGGGTTTTTATTTTATTTTTTTATAGTAGCTTTTTTTTTTTTTTAACATCTTTATTGGAGTTTTGCAAAGTTCTTGTTGCATCCTCAGCTTTCAGCCTTCCCTGTGCACCTGCCCTGCAGAGCAGGTCTCTCCCACTGCCCTTGCCCACCTGCCATTGCTAGCCCGGAGCAGGAGAGGTTCTCCATTGTCTCTGTCTCAGCTGGGCCGTGCGTGATTAGGGTATTAGGGATGGGGCTTCCTTAGTGTTTCTGTTCTTTTCCCCTTTGGTGGCCAATGCCCACTTTCCCTTTTGAACATTTGGATCTATTTGGATCTTTCGCATGAGAGAGTTTCTTTGCATTGCATCTTCCCCAGGGGGAGGTACCCTCTGATGATATTAGCATAGGATCCTGGGCCTAGAAATATTTCCTGCCCCTCCCCCAGCGCTACTCCCATTTTTCTATCAAATAAATATTTACTAGTGCCTACTTTATACCTGTATCAATGCTGGATTATGAGGGAACAAAGAGGAATAAGACATGCACGCAGTTCTGAGTTTACAACATATTATAACACACGTTTAATTATAAGAGAAGTTTTTCAGCCTTAGCATCATTGAGAGTTGGGGTCGGATGATTCTCTGCTGTGAGGGCTGCCCTGTGCTTTTGCATTATACTGAGCGGCATCCCTGCCCTCCACCCAGCACGTGTCAGTAGCACTCCCCAAGTCCTGACAACCAAAAGTGTCTCCAGGCATTGTAAATGACCACTAGGGGTCAAAATGGTCTCGGATCAGAACTACTGATTACAGTGCAATATGTTACTGATGTCAAAGGCTGCTTTGCATTGCTTCCTCCAGAAGGCTTCTTAAAAGCCTCTGGCTGGACTAAGTGATGCAGCTCCCCGCTCTTTGCATCCTGTGTCACTTCTGTCTTAACGCTTTGTATTACATCAAAACTGCCTGTTTGGGCCAATGCCTCCTCCATTAGACTGTGGGCATTGGCTAATTTTTTTTTACCCCCATTGTTGAGCGTAGTGCTTTGTACACAGCAAGCGCTCAATAAATGAAAAGTTGGACAGTGGTCTAGTGGTTTAAGACAGTTGTAACCAGTCTAAGGAGTCATCGTAAGAACTGGCCCCTGTAAGGATTGTTGAAGATCCATTTCACAGAGAGTTTAATCTCAACATAAATGTGCAAAATGAATTAACTCCTGAGAATGAGGTTATAATAAAAAGAATCTGCTTACCATAAAAACTTGATTATTCAAACATTGATTATAAAAGCAAAATTCCTTTTTTATCTGAATCGAGGCCAAGTCCTTATATAATTAATTTATAAGACAACTTCCCTCCTGGCCAAAATTGTGCTCAATCTCCCATATCCTTTTTCTCACAAGATTTCACTTGACTTAATATGTTGAGATTATAGTTCCACTTGCAAAGTGACCTAACTAAAAGAAGAAATTTATAACAGAAAGCTACAAAGATAATATGAAAGGATATAAAGTAATACAAATGGAGACAAATTCTGGCATAGTTGTTTTAAAAAAAATTAAATAAGAATTATAATTTTTTAAAAAAGCATTCTTCTCATGAAGGTTTACTTACATGGAAAGAGGGATTATCAGTGATTTTTAGGGAAAGAAAAACTTAACTTTCTAGGTCAGAATTTTCTATTCTTTATAACCAGATAAGAACTTGTGTCTTTAGCCTCTGGCCCAATGACTCTAAAATTCCTATTGTTCCCTGAATATGCTTCATGCTTTAGTGATGAGAGCCCTGAAGTGTCCTCCTCCCTGTCAAACAGCCCCCTGTGGGGCTGCCCCAGTTTTACATCTTGGGAATAGTAGCAAATATTCACATGACAACTTTGAGGAACAGACTGGAATAAGGGTTCCATGTGAATAGAAATCAAACTGGGAAAGAAGACTGTGTCTCTTTTCCTGTTAATATTTCAGGCTATTCGTATTTCAAGGTTCAGATCAAATGACTGAGAGTTTGTTTGTTCATTTCTATCCAATTAACCCACATCTGTTGAAAACTTCTTACATAAAGGCACTGTGCTGGGTACTGGGGCTAAAATGGTCCCTGTCCTCATGGAGGTGTCATTTAGTAACGGATTGCTTTGTGCCAGGCACTGTGTTTTGTATGTATTATCATAAAGCTATGAGTTTTTATAGCTGAGACAGTAAAGACTCAGAGAAGGTAAGTATTGGAGCCATTAAAATAGGGATTATAACATTTGTCTTGCAAGGTCATTTTAAGGATTAAATGTCATTCATTCATTCATTCATTGCCATCTATCCTCCGAAAGACCTTCCATGAGTGCCCTGCTTTCATTATTTTTTCAAAGCACTCATCACTTGACATATTGTCTTTGTATCTATTATTTACCTATTTATTTATCACAGGCCTCCTCCCACTAGATGTAAGTTTCACGAGAGCAGGGCCTTGGTGGTTTACTGATGCCTATAATTTTGTCTGGTCCATGGCAGGCACCCAACACATATGTCTTGAGTGAATTTGTTGAGTGAATGATTCAAGTGTTTAGCTTGGTGTCTGTGTAAAGAGGAAGAGTTCAGTATTTTATCCCTCATCTTGCTCTCCCAATCTCTATTGGCTGTGTTCTGTGTAAATGACATTATTTGGTAAAATTTGTAGTTTCCTTTTCTTGTCAATATTTAACAGAAACCCTCAAGTTAAGTAGGTAAACTATTTGAACAGATAATGCACAAGGAAGATGTGTTATAAATATTCAAAAGCATGTTCACACTCACTAATAAATGTGCTACAGATCTGAAAAAAGAACAGTGAAATCTCTTTTTTGTTTTTTTAAATTATGATTAAAAATGTAATATCCAGTTTTGGTGAGAATTCTATGAGGTGGAAATTCCAACATAGGGCTTCCGGGAGGGTAAATTGAAATGATTTTTCAGGAAGAAATTTAACAATATGCACTAAAACCATTTAAAATGTTTTCACTCAGTGGTTAAGTAAAATAATTAAAAATCTTATAATGGGGAGTGATGTATCTGTAAAGATTATGCTTATTAATGCTTGTTTTGTCACATGAGAGATTGTTTTATGACTGAAAGTTAATGTGAAAAGGAAAGAAAACTGGTGTATGCTATATAATAAGGACTCCCTTGCGCAAAACATATCAGCATAGAAAACATTGACATGAAATGTACCCAAAATGTTATGACTAATAGCCCTGCACCCCCAGGGATGATTAATTTGTATTTTATGCATTAAGAAAATTAAACATTAGCAAAAGTGTTATTACAAATAAAATTCTATATGTGTTTAGAGCATTTACATTTACAAGATATTTTCATAAGATTATCTTTTGTGGTCTCAACAGCTTTTTGAAGTAAGCATGGCAGAGATTTTTATTCTTATCTTTTAGATGGGTTTACAAAGAGGCTCAGAGAGGTTGTTTGACTTACTGTCATCCCTTGGTATCTGTAGGGGATTGGTTTCTGGAATCCCCATGAATATAAGAATCTGTGGATGCTCAAGTCCTTTATATGCAATAGCATAGTATTTGGAAATAACCTACACACATGCTCCTGTATACAGCTGACCCACGAATAACACGAGTTTGAACTGTGTGGGTCCACTTACACTTGGAGTTTTTTCACTAAGTACATACTATGGTACTACTCAATCCTTGGTTGGTTGAATCATCTCCAGATTACTTATAATACCGAATACAATGTAAATGCTATGTAAATACAATGTATATACTACGTAAATACTTGTTGGCGTGTGGCAAATTCAAGTTTTCCTTTTTGGAACTTTGTGGAATTTTTGTTTTTTAAATCCTTGGTTGAATCTGCAGATGGGGAACTGGCAGATATGGAAGGCTGACTGTACTTATTACCACATAATTAGCAGTTGGAATCTTTGGGCCTAAAATCTGGGCAAAATGATGTTATTATCAAAAAGTTTTGAGTTTAAATTCTGCTTCCGGAGAACAGGATGAGCATTAGATGAGGTGCAGGGGAAAGCCTGATGCCTGGCTCACAGAAAATCTTCAACAAATGTTCTTCTCCCTTCTAGGCTTACTCTACAGGACGATGACCTCACCAGTCTAATCCCCCTGCACCTCACTGAGCTTGACCTGCTCATCACCTAACAAGATGCCTTGGGAATGAGAGATGGGGAAGCTCTAGGCTGCTAGGATGTGCTCTCCATATGTTTGGTTCATATGGTCAAGCCTTTACTCACTTCTTCCAGCCTCATCCGGGTTTGCCTGTCTGTGGGGATAGAGGTCTTGGCATCTAAGGAAAGGGGTGTGTCCATCACACCCTTGAAATAACGTGTATCTGTGAGAAGAGAAAAAATTTAAGGTCATACTTTACATGGCTCAGTATATTATAATTTATAAACTATTTGCCTATCTACAAACTCATTGAATCATCACAATATAGGTATGAGGCAAGTAATTCTACTTCCACTTAACGGATAAAGAGACTGAGGTTCAAAGAGGAGAAGTCACTCCTCTTGGTCCATACACGTAAATGTCAAAGTCTGGACCTGAACATTCTTCATTCTCTTATCTACTTGGAGAATCCTACTCATCTGTCAAGGCTTGGGCTGTGTCATGCCCTTCGAAAATCTTCCTAGACACCTGCACACCACCCCTGGCTCTCTTTTCCATGTCATATACTTAACATATGCTTAATTATATACTTAACATAATTATATACATTATCTACTTAACTTATTCTATCATACTTATCTGTTTATCTGTCTTTCTGCCATTAGATTGTGACCTTCCTGAGAACATGGATTATGCTTTGTTTATCTTTATGTCACTTGATCAATCTTAATGTGATAACTGGCACACAGTACATACTCAGTAAATGCTTGCTGAGTAAATGAAGAAAGGAATATCATTATTATTTACAAGGTGATTCTCCCCAGTAGAGTCATTTTAGTAGATCAGGCTCTCAGAAATCACAAATGCTTTCTCTTTTCCCTTACAGCAGTGTGCTTTACCTAATGTTCAGAGAACTTGCTGGAGCTTCCCAAAGCACCCCAGTTAGAAAGAGGCAAAGGTGGATTTGTAATAAGCTCTTCTTTCTCTTAAAAAGCTTGGCTTTGTTGCCATGCCCTAGTTGCACTCATATGCTGGTTACTGGCAAAACATATCAGCCATATTAAAAAGTCTTCCCTTTTACTGTAATCTCCTCTATGCAAACTTTGTCTTAACAGGGATGTTGCCCACATTCCTGCTGGTCAATGTTCTGTCATGCTCATCAGTTGTTTCTAGGACTCAAGATGAGCATCATGATAATAATAACCAATAGTCACAGAGCTCTGACTCTGTGTTAAGTCCTCTGGTGAGAACTCAGCATGCATCATACATGTGATCTTCAAAAAACACGCTGGGGGTAAGTTCTCTTATTATGAACCCTGTTTTCTGATAGAGAAAATGATTTTTAGATGCTTGCTCAAGGTCACACAGCTAATAAGACATAGAGGCATGATTTTAAACTAGAGCTGTTTAATTCAGAACCTGCAGCTTTAGTTGCTATGCATTATTGCAGCACGGACATGCATTTTCAGATTTCAGCCCCCAAATGTTACCCGCATATTCAGATTCCTTTATAGGCCTGGCTGGTAAAATTTTCACCGATTGCTGTGCTTCTACCATGTGAAACTCAAGGTCTTCATAGTCCTCGTCTGTGTGGTCTTTTGCTCCATCGAGGACTGCTGCTAAGTTCCTTCCCTAAGGAGGGAACGTTTGAGTGAGTCAAGGAAAGGTACAATAATGACAAAGATTATAGACTACCATGCTAGCTAGGGGAGTAATACGGATTCTCTTAGCTTGGAGTTAAAGATTTGAGAGTCTGGGATCTGAGGCAGTTAAATTCTTGTAGTAGGCAGAATTCTAATGTTATCCCTAGAATGACATCAGCGTTATGATGGTGTGAGACACTCCCTTTGTCTCTCCCCTTCAATCTACAACCAGTAAAATATCCATAACTCAACAAAGGTTCCTCTGCCCAAGACACCAGGACTCCAGAGAGATCCACATGTTTGTACATCTGAAGGTAGGTAGATCGGAATACATAGAGAGAGTATAATCAGGGGAACAGTAGAGGTGGTGCCCATATTCCTGACCCCCAGAAAACCTGGTGGCAGCAGCAGAGGTGGTACATGACTCTTATTTCCTGGCTACAGTGGTGCCCATGGCCACAAGGAACTGGGCAGCAGCAGCAGCAGCAGCAGGACCTGCAAACGCCAGGTGTGTGTGTGATTCTGGCACCCCCTGCCCATGGCTCCCCATCCCTTGCTACAGTAGCATTGCTGATAACTCAAGCAACACTGGACATGAAGATGCCAGTAGCAGCAGTGACATTGACATCAGCAAGGCACCAGTGATCCCAGAGGCATAAGCTGCAATGACAAGGGCGCGAGTGAAATCTCTGGTAGAGGCAGTGGAGGGTGGAAACTGCTGATTCTCAAATAGGCAGCTCAGATAAGAAAAAACAAAAACGTGCTATAGCAGCACCTACTGAAAAACAAAAGAAAGGTCTCTAATTACCAATCTGTGGAACTGTTAGAATCAAAGTAATCAAAGCTTTACCTAAACAAGAGAGGTGTTTACTACTTCAAATGCACTGGTAGAGGAACAACTCATCAAGCACCATGAAAAACCGTGGTAACACAGTATCACAAAATGAATATGACAATTATCCAGAAACCAAATTTAAGTCACAGGAGACTGTGATCTAACTGGTAGAGTTAAAAATAGCTGTCATGAGGAAACTCAACAAGCCATAAGAAAACTCAGAAAGCAATTCAATGAGCTCAGGAATAAAACCAATGACAGAAGGAATACTTTACCAAAGAGACTAAAACTCTAAAAAATAATCAAACAGAAATTCTGGAGCTTGAGAACTCAGTAAATGAGATGAAGAATACATTAGAAAGCACTGGGAATAGAGCAGATAATGTGGAAGAGAGAATCAGTGAGCTCAAAGATAGAAATTTAAAAATGATTCAGGTAGAAGAGGAGAGAGAACTAAGATTTTTTTAAAAAATGAAGAAATTCTATAAGAGTTATCTGATTGCATTAGAAAAAAGCACCATAAGATAGCAGGTATACCGGAAAAGGAAGAGAGGGAGAAAGGAGTAGAGAGCTTATTTAAAAAAATAATAGCTGAGAACTTCCCAAACCTGAGGAAGGAACTGGATATACAAGTCCACGAAGCTAATAGAACACCTAATTATCTTAATGCAAAAAGACCTTCTCCAAGACACATTATATTAAAACTGTCAAAAGTCAATGATAAAGAAAGAGTAATAAAGGCACTCAGGGAAAAAAAAGACAGTAACCTACAAAGGTACTCCCATTAGGCTATAAGCAGACTTCTCAGCAGAAACTCTGTAGGCCATGAGAGAAAGGAATGACATACTCAAAATACTGCAAGATAAAAACTGTGAGCCAAGAATACTCTATCCAGCAAAGTTATCTTTCAGATATAAAGGAGAAATAAAGGCTTTTCCTAGAAATAAAGGCTTTCCTAAATAAAACCTGAGGGAGTTCATGACCACTAGACCTGCCTTACAAGAAATGTTGAAAGGAGCTCTTCTACTTGAAACAAAAAGGTAAAAGTATACAAAACTTTGAGTAATGTGATAAATAGAATCAGAAAATTGCAACTCTATATCAGAATAGGTTGTTAAACACTTAATTATAGCATAAAGGTTAAAGGAAAAAACATTAAAAATAACTATAGCTACTTAAATTTGGTAATGAACTCACAACATAAAAAGGGAAGTTTTTGTGGCAACAAAAATATGAGGGGGAGAAGAAAAGGATACAACCTGTATAGACAAATGAACATAAGACTAAACAACATGCTACTGAACAAATATTGGGTTAATGGAAAAATTCAAAGGAGAAATAAAAAAAAAACACATGAGGACAAATAAAAATGAAAATATGACATACCAAAACCTACGTATGCAGCCAAGCAGTACTAAGAGGGAAGGTAGCAATACAGGCCTACCTCAAGAAATAAGAAAAATCTTGAATAAATAATATAAACTTATACATAAAATAGCTAGAAGAAGAAGAGAAAACAAAGCCCAAAGTCAGTAGAAGGAAGAAAATACTAAAAATTAGAGTGGAAGTAAATGAAATAGAGAAAAAAAGACAACAGAAAAAGATGAATGAAACTAAGACCTGCTTCTTTGAAAAGATAAATGAAATGGGCAAACCTTTAGCTAGATATACTAAGAAAAAGTGAGAAGGCTTAAATAAATAAAATCTGAAACAAAAGAGAAGTTACAACAAATACCACAGAAATACAAAAGATTATAAGAGACTACTATGAATAGCTATATGCCAACAAATTGGATAACCAAAATGAAATGGATATAAATTCTTAGAATTATATAACCTTCCAAGATTGAATCATGAAGAACCAGATTTTCTGAATAGACTGATCCCTAGTAAGCAGACTGAAGCAGTAATCAAAAACATTTCAAAAACAAAAGTCCAGGAGACATTCAAGATGGAGGAGGAGTAAGACGTGGGGATCAGCTTCCTCCCCACAAATGCAGCAGAAATACATCTATATGTGGAAAAACTCCTACAGAAAACCTACTGAACACTGACAGAAGACCTCAGACTTCCCAAAAAATATATACATTTTTTCCTTTTCCTCTTTTTGTGAGTGTGTATGTGTATGCTTCTTTGTGTGATTTTGTCTGTATAGCTTTGCTTTTACCATTTGTCCTAGAGTTCTGTCTGTCATTTTTTTTTTTAGTATAGTTTTTAGCACTTATTACTATTGATAGATATATTTTTTGGTTTGGTTGCACTTTCTTTTTTTATTACTTTTAAATTTTTAATAATTTAAAAAATTCTTTATTTTAATAACTTTATTGTATTTTATTATATTTTCTTTCTTTCTTTCTTTCTTTCTTTCTTTCTTTCTT